GTGTGTGTGTTTGCTGTTGTTTGTTTTGCATATATACATGTAATTGTTCTTTTCTGGACAGCTCTCTCTTGCCTTGCCCAACCATGCACCCCCCCCCACACACACACAACCCATCCATCTACTCACTCCTTTTTTTATCATGTTTCCGGATCAAACAGACGTGGACGAGTGTGAGCAAGAGGGCATCTGTCAACAGAGTTGTGTCAACGTGCTGGGAACTTTCTTCTGCTCCTGTAACCGTGGCTATCAGCTGAGGGACGACAAGAGGTCTTGTGAAGGTAGGGAACATATCGTGATAGATTTGGTGGTAAAGTAAAAGGCACACCATTGGGTTTGGCCGAGCGGGTATGTAGGGAGAAAGCACGCCATTCATATAAACGCATTGTGACAAGTATTTATTGTAAATCTTGTGTACCAAGCGGTGTGAAGGTAGAAATCAAATAATTAATTTTATAGACCGTAAATAAAAAGTGAGAAGGTATTGATAGACTTATCGTGAAACTGGGAGGTACACTATTGGCTGAGTAGTTTGAAGGTAGAAAGAATGTCATTTTAGGCCTAAGTAAAAGGTGAGAAGGAATGTCAGTCGATGACTGGTGTGACCATCAATGATTTATTTATAGAGGCACCAGCCATCCATGTCCAGGTGCTGTTTTAGCCATGGCTGGCGTGAACCACTTGTAAGACGCACATCATTGTGTCAATGTGCTGGGAAGTTTCTTCTGCTGCTGTAACCGTGGCTATCAGCTGAAGGACCACAAGAGGTTTATGAAGGTAGGAAACCTGTCATGATAGACATGGTGGGAAAGTAGAAGGCACACCATAGACTGATCGGTATGAAGGCAGAAAGCATGCAATTAATAGATCGTAAATAAATCGTTGGCCAGCTATTGAAATGCACCAAACCCAAAATTTTGATAAAAAAACAAATGCAGTTTCTTAAACTGGGGTATTGTCATGATATATTTCGTGTGGAAGTAGAAGGCAAACAATTGGCTGAGCGGTGTGAAGGTAAGGAGCCTATTGTGATAGACTAGGTGGGGAACCTTCACGTGTACCCTGTAACCCGTTTCTACAAGCACAATGCACCCTGTTACAATTTCATCTGCGACAGAAAAATGTCAGCGGCAATTGATTATTATTTCTTCATTTTCTTTGTTGCATGTTCTTTGTTGCATGTATTTCTTGGATCATTTCTCTTTTCGTTTTTTAAACTATATTATTATTATTATTATTATTATTATTATTATTATTATTATTATTATTATTATTATTATTATTATAGTGAAACCATCGCTTTACGAAATTGTTCATCATTAAAATTTATTTTATTTGTGCGTTTAATGTGTAGAAGGACGTTTTCTTGAAGCATAACAATCTGTAACATGTTGGCACATTTTTACGTAACTTACAAATTTCGACACCAAAATCGGGGCACGGGGCAAAATAAAAATCCGTCCATAATCTCATGCGCTCATAATATGACCTAATCTAGTTGCGAGCATCGTAAAACCAGCACCTCTACTTAACCACATTACCGTTACCGATGTGTTTGTTGTCAGACATCGACGAGTGTACCCAGTTCCGGGGCCGCGGTGGTCGCTCTGGCGTGTGTGGGGGCCGGTGTATCAATCTGCCGGGGTCCTACCGCTGTGAGTGTCCTGATGGATGGAGACTCAAACCCGACAGCCGCTCGTGTGAAGGTGAGTACTCTTGTTGCACATAGCTGTCTTTGCTGTTTGTTTTTGTAGTTTTTTGCGTTCATTGTTTTTAAGACTGCCTCCCAAATGATTGTCGATGGGGGTGTAAAACAAGATAAAAATGGTAATTGTTTTTATCGCTGTTTTAGTTGTTGTTTGTTGGGGTGGGGTGTATAACGCACATGGTCATTTGTTTTATTTTCTGTGAATGCATTACAAACATATACATGTACTTCCAGTCTTAAGGCGACGATCTTATGCACCGCCTTACATTATACTGATACTGATAGATAAAAAAAGATAGATAAAGGATGGAGAGGCAATGAACTCTTTAAATTGATAATGCTTTCCCAATTCTCTGAGTAGAAGAGAATATTATGTCACTATCTTTCACCTTCGAACACAACACATCCCACGGAATTCCTACCTAAATAGGATCCACAGGGATACCCCACCCGACTGTCCGTTGTGTGACTGCCAGGATGAAACAGTATTACACCACCTCTTAACCTGCCCTGCACTTACCGACCTGCGTAGTACCTACCTACCTGCCTCCCCGGATATCGGAGATACTCTATATAACATCAAAACACAGCTGATAAAAACCTGTAAATTCTTTGCCGTATCGACAGGCCGAAGGGCTAGAACTCAAGTGGCTACTGGATCGGAAAAGTAAAAGTAAAGTAAAGTATAATGCCTTCCCTTAGCCTCGCATGGCAGCTTGAATATATACACCTTTTCTACCCCGCCCCCCTTTCTCTTTTCCCCCTTTGTCCAGACATCAACGAGTGCCGGGAAGGTAGCGCGTACTGCCCCCACTCGGAGAGTATGTGTATCAACACCAGAGGAGGCTACAAGTGTCCCGTCGTCAGGTGTCCAGACGGGTTCATCAAGACCAACGGGACGGCACACAAGAACAGGTACGTTATTGCTGACTCAAGCAAACGAATGTGTTGTGCATGTCATAATCTGTCTTCTCTCAGGTGTACAAAAAAGTCGTTTCTTTTTTAGTTTAGGAGAGCACACTAACATGAAACTAGAGAGCCCCGAAAGTAAAATATCTCTGATACGGGAGGGTGGAACACGGGTAAAATACTTTAGAACACATTATGGTAGTACATCTTGTCAGTACACGAGTGTTTTTGTGCCTATAAATGGCAGCTTGCACTATATGCTTCCCAGGAAGTTTAGATTGTTTCAGAATGCCATAAGGTCTGCTGGGATAATAATGAATACAAATTGTACAGCGCGCCCGTAGAGCTTGCTGTTGACGCAGAATTTACGCTATACAAATGCTATATATATATGTACGTACCTCGAATTTATGGTTTCATGACCAAAATAACCAATATTTAGAAATAGACCCCAGAACTGCTGGAAGAATTGAAGGGAAGTGGTTGGATATTACCAGTTTAACGGCATCTTGTATAACAATTTTGCCACTTGCCGCCGGAGAGCATTGTTGCGATTTCTCGAACTGACCAAACTAACACTCATTAAGACTGCATGTTATCTAAGAGCATGTCTCCTGTACGGACAATTTTTGCACATTGTTGTGTCTAGCACATTAACAAATCTACTAATTTACTAATTCTTACGTTGTTTTTAACACCCCCCCCCCTCCTCAACCTTTGACTGCTCGTGCTCGTCTTGCATTGGACCACACCCCTCAACACCACGACACCAATGACAACGACAACTTCACACCCACTCCCTTTATTCCTTTGGGGCGTAACCCAAATATCGCTGGACATCGAATCTTTCTTGGAATGTTGATCACGAACGACAATAATGGTTACGTCAACGTTAACGGGCGTTCCTGCTCTCTGGCGGATTTCTCTCCCTTGGGCATTTGGATACCAATGACGTATTGGCTTTTTACCCATCTACACTTTGGGCGATTTGATGTCCTGGGTGTCTTCTTACTTAAATCTGAACCATATTGATGTCATGGACCTTACGACACGTGTGTCCGTTTGCCACCATTTGTTTATGTACTGGTGACACTGTGTACCTAGCATTCGCTGTAAGCGCGTGTCCACGAGCTGCGCAGAGTGCCGTCGGGGGCTCATCTCCCGCACCTACAACTTCATCTCTTTCGCCTCCAACGTCATCGTCCCAGCGCCTCTCTTCTCAATGACTGGAAGCCGATTGGTGGACAAGTTCTACAGCTGGAACCTTGACCTTATCTCGGCACGACCTCTGCGAGTGGGAGTGGAGGTGGCGACTGAGCAGCACTTTACCCTAGAGAAGAGCCGAGACTTTGCGAGGGTCACGCTGATCCGGCGAATTGAGGGTCCCCAGGACGTTGTGCTCAAACTCACCATGAATGTGACCAGTTACTACAAGGGCTTCGAGGGCATGGCGGAGTCCAGAATCTATCTCTACGTCACAGAGGAGGACAGCAACTAGACTTATCTCACTGCGTCATGATGTGCTTTGCCTCTGTTATCTAATGAGAGAACATGTAATATCTCAGCGTTCTCTTATAAAACAACCGTGGTAACACAATGTTCTGAAGCTTTCCACAAACAAGACCCAGAAAGCAAGTCGTCACTATCATCAACCATTTATGGATGTAACGGACACATAATGCCCGACAGCAGACCAAATGCCATGTTGCGGCACATTTCGAACTGTCATACACAAATCAGAAACACACATTTAGTTGTATATTTTTTCATAGTATGCATGTCGTTGCCTACATTTTTACTTTTCAGATAAAGAAAAGAGAATTGAAAAATATGTGTGGATAACAAAATTAAGCTTCTTTGTTTTTGAAAGTGCTCCCCTCAACAGTACATTTTCAAGCGTTGTTAAAAGACCAGATTGCCCCTTCTCAAAGAGCTAACACATTTTATTGTGGGTGCCACAAAGTTGTAAAAGTGTAATAGCATAACACACTGTTGAACCATGAGCACTTCTCTATTCCTGGTCACTTTTTTTTCTCAAATAACACCCAGAAAACAACAAATAATCATATGAACTAACTTTGCTCAGACAACAAGGGTTCTTCCAAGTGGAAGGCCTACGATTGTCACCTTTTTGTTTTTAGTGTAATGTTACTTTTTAAAACGTGACTCCTAGTTCTTGGCGTAGATGTTTATAAAGGAAAAAGGTATTATAATATGAAATGATGTTTTAGCTTTAAAAAAGAGAATGACTGTTGCCCCATTTTAGTGAAATAGCTTTATAGTATAAGGGAAGATCCCTCTCTTTCCAATGGTTTCCTCCTCCTGTTTAAATAAAAACCGAACCATACTTTCCTCAGATAAACAAAGAAGTCAAAAATGTTTGTTTTCAAATCAATAGCTTGTCCAACGAAAATGTCACATTCTTTTCTCATGTGATTGAATTAAATATACTGATACATTCCTAAATGTAGTTTTTCATGGTCCTTTTCATTGTTTTTCTGTTGAACTGTGGTATAAAATAAACGGAACTTGCTTATACACACACACACACACACACACACACACACACACACACACACACGCGCGCGCGCGCACACACACACACACACACACACGCACACACACATACAAACACACACACACACTCACAGACAAACACACACATACACACACACACTCATCCCCACATACATCACAAGCACACCCCCCCCCACACACACACTTAAACACACACACATAAACACACACACACATCAACACATCATTATGCTGTTCCGTATGTGGTACAGTCTACGCGCAAAGGTCATGGTAACCGAGTCAGTGTCATGGAAAAGGTCAAGTAAGGTCAATCATGCAGCAAAAAAGTGAAAGTCGAGATCAGTGTCAGAGAAATTCTTCTTTTTTTTACGCATCAGAAGAATTGCGTCACTATAATATTGGATTACAACACAGGAGACACTTTTATTACGTCGAACTGACATATGACTCTATCGACAGGGGATGTTGAGATGTCACCAGTCCTTGTTTATTGCTTCATTTCCCCAGTATTGTTAATTCTATATCATCGACCAGCTGATAAAATGTACGAAGCCCAAATTTTGATACTTTTAAAAATAATTTTTTGGTATTGCAATTTCTTTATCGGTGGTATCAACTGCATGTGTTCAAGAAATATTTTGTTGGAATTCAAATACAGAATGATGAAAAAGAAAAACCCAGGGAACACCCCCCCCCCCCACATAAAGTAGGTACAATTATTAACCCATTTCCACCTGAGTTGTCTCCCTGAGCAGACACTCTCACCTGGGCTGACCCCAGCCACACCCACAAATTTAGGTACCCACACTAAAACTACATTAACGTTCCCCTCCAAGCAGCTACAACATTAAATATGAAACGATTTTTTAACTCTCTCCAGTGAAATACTGCTTTCGATCTTTAGTACTCTTTAGCAGCTTGCCGGCGATTTATTTCTCTATTTGTGTCTTGAACGGTATTTCTTGTCTCCTAAAAAAATAAATGATCGATGGGGTACAAAAACACATACATAAACCCCTCCCCGCCCCCTCCCCACCCCCACCCCATAGACAAGAACACACACACACACACACACACACACACACACACACACACACACACACACACACACACACACACACACACACACACACACACGCCACATTCAACGAAGGAGTACATTATCCAACAAGAAAACTGGTGGACACCAGCAAAAAAGTGAAAAGTTAATCTCTCATTCCATTTTTTCCTTAGATCTTTCAAAGATGAATGCGTTTCCATGCGGAACTCTCCCAAACATTAGCAGTAAACTGTTGAGTCGAATGGGTAGCTCTTGCTACGCTAATGTTTGTGAATGACATAGTTTAACCAGTCGTTTCTTTCTTGCCTTATCGCTGCACGCAATACTAACATCACTTAACTTCCAACACGGCTGTTTCAGAAGACAAATCATGGAAGTTGTAAAATGAGGAAATAAATGCAACACTGAGGGATCTAGATCTAGTTATATTTTTTAAAAAAAATCAGAAATAGCTGTTCGTTGGCTTATCAAAAGCAGTTATAATCCAGATTGGATGTTATGCTTCCAAAGACGACTTGGCAATTTCTGCTGTCTATGGTGAGTATTCTTTAGATGATTGTTGATTCTTGTGGAAAAGGATTTTTTGGGTTTATATGGCGTCGGGGTGGGGAATTGGGGGGTGGGGGTGGGATGTGGGTAGTTAATCACTTTGTACATGCGATCCAATATGGCAGATTTAGTCTTCTCCGATTGCTGTTAGAATATATTAAATGTTCTTTTCAGTTCTTTCATTTTGTGAACGGTATCAAACAATGGCGTGGGGTTTGGTGGGTAAAAAAAGATGTTTTTCCTGTGACAAAGTATGTGTTTTTCACTTCAGTTAAAGGAAAGTTAGTTGCCCCAAACCTGTAATATACTTGTGTATTCAACATTCAACGTTTCTCATTACTTTTGTCCGACTTTGTAGTATCGATAGTAGGGCCATCTTTGCAGGTGAGGACGATAATGGCAAAGGGGAGGAGGCGGAGGGAGAGGAGCGGGGGTTGATTAGGCAAATTCCAAGTTAACAACCATAGATTTATTTAGAATCATAAATGGTAATGGAGAAAAATACGAAGAGAGGAGAAAGAGTCTAAAACAGCACCAAGACATAGATGGCTGGTGCCCCTATAAATATATTATTAATTGTCTGGTCTGAACTCCAAAATGCTCAATTTCTTCAATCACATTGTTGGCTCTCGACAGAGAGCTGATTACTGAGGAGGACGGAGTTGTGTGTGGACGAGAAGATTGCAAGGCGAGGGATCTAGCTTGTCTCAGAAACAAAACCAAGACAGTCACCTGGCAGTTTCTGCCTTTGCCCAGGTATGTAAAATGCGGCCAATCGTATGTACGTGTATGTTGTTATTGTTGCTATCTCTTAGAAGTCGGCACATCTACTGACTAGATGCTGCATTATTTTTGTCTTGTTTTGTCATTTATCATAAATATCTTCTTGCAATTAAATTAATCACAACCTCATCCTCACAAATCAAACCTTCATTTTTTTCTTAACATATTGGTGAGTAATACAAGTTTGTGGCTTGAAGCCTGTCATTTTGTCGATGAAAGTACTAACGTGTGCAAATGTTCAACTTAACTTGCTGCAATAAAACGGAATTTGAAAGAGTTAATATACGACGAGGTCTTCTTTTAAGAATGGGTTCTCACATTCTGGTAGACATTCTTAGACCATCTGAGTAGTGAGGGTCTCAAAGAGAATACTTTCATCCATTTTTTTTTCTTGTGCTTTTTGTATTGAGAGAAAACTCCGTTTTCATTAAATTTAAATATCTTTGGATGTTTGTTTTATTGTGATAAATCGTAAAATAAATTCACATAATTGATTGCCTTTGATAAATGTTCCTCGTGTAAGAAATATAATAAGCCAGTTGGTTCCTCCATTCCTTTTATCGTGTGTAGCTTTTTATATTTTGTCCCTGTTCATTCTTGATCACCCATTCACCCTCTTGCCCAGTTCCTCTTTGCCTCCGCTCCCTTCTCGTTTACTCATATTTTCGTCTTACTCTTATTTTTTGTACCCCTCTCCCCAGTTTTTCATTGATTCACCCATCCCATCCCCCTTTACCACCTTTGTGTAGCAGTTTGGCGCCATGCCATCGCACGCTGGAGACCGGAGTTCGCTTCCCGAGTGGGGACACATTTTTATCGAGTATTTCGGTCTTTCTGCTTGGACGTTGTAATAGCCCAGAATGGTCCTGACAGGCAGGGTCGAAGCAGCCCGGCTCCTAAATGATATATACTATCGATAGGGACGTAAAACTTCTACAATTACATTTTTATGAGCACCACAGGACCGTCCCCACGCCCTTTCCATCTTTAACTGTCCCCACTCCTGAATTTACCCACAGCTTGGAGTTCATCGGGTCTCCTTTGACCTTACTCAACATTCGCACGGTGGGATACTCCGTGTACCCTAATCTACACCTGGGCATCATCCGCGGTAACGACGAAGGCCTCTTCGATACCACCGTGTCAGGGGATAGAGGTAAGAATTACTCTCTGTGGTATGCCACCTGCCATATGCCATCTGCCACCTGGCTTAGCAGTTTTCGTTCCACTCTTATGGCGGGGCACGGGTCGTACACAACCTCCCTCTGTTCTTCAAATCTATAGGGTTGTCTAAAAAGAGGCGAGCCGTTTGAATTTAAAGCCCATCTCTGTAGGGATCCATGCAGGTAAAGAGCTTGAAACTTTCCAAATATCCCGATTTCAAAAACGTCTCATTGGAGATTTGATTCAGGGTCAGCTTGATACCAACTAAGGCAACGGCACGCTCTTAATCTCCGAGTACTCGGATTTTTAAAAATATGTTTTTAAAGACGAATCTTTACATGTTAGTATATTATTTAAATCCATTTTCAGCACTGAAAGGTTATTCATTCGGTTATATTATAGAGTCTAGACCTCCCAATTTAACGAATGTCCCAGGCAGAGTCAAGCTGTTGGGGACCCATGAAAAGTCTCCAAACGGCCTACGATCATTGATTATTTCATTTTGTCTACTGTACTCTCAGATTCGTCACAAAGCACAGAGTGATACCAAGAATAACATCAGCTTTTACTTTTCTGAGAACGTTCTATGAATTGCAGTTCGCAGGGGACCTGGTTAACTTTTAGTTGAGCAATACATTGATGTTGATTAGCTCAGATCTAGAAATGTGTGTGTTCAGGTATACACCAGATTTAAGAAAATCTACGTTTTTAGACAATACATACTATGTCTAAAATAATCTGTTTTGAAAATCTGTTTTGAAAATTCATTTTTAAATGGAAAATGCTAGTAAACTGTAAATTAGTTTTAAAACTCTCTCAGGAAGGTTTATTTCCACGAAAAAGCTTTTCCAGGAAAAGGTTAAGAAGTGTTCGTAATAGTAGGATATCTGTTCCCCAACCCAAACCCGTTTTTTTCTCCATCCCTTTCCCCTTTTGTTCACTCCTGCGTTATCTCTTCGAATACGGGGACTTATTATATTTGGCCGCTCCAGGGAACTATAAACAAACAGCATTGTAAGCCCGTGAAGTTCTGTTTTCAGAGATAACAATGACCATCTTGGCCATGTGGGGGGAAGTTATATTCATGCTCGTGGCCACGTAATTGCCTTGTTAAATAACAAAGCCTCTTCCCTCATCGCTTTCAACAGGGGCACTCAGACTGCTTCGCCCTCTCAAAGGCCCCGCAGACAAAGAAGTGGTACTAGAACTGGAGAACCGAGATTTCTCGGGGAAGAACGTCATTTCCCGTCACGTGACCCACGCTCGGATATTGGTAGGCGACACGCCATTTTGAACCGACAGACCCGAACACCAATAAGAAGGGTGCTTCTTAACCAGACGAGTAACTCTCCGATGTGGGAAAGAAGAAACTTTAGGAGAGGCTGAAACCAGAGGAAGAACTTTCAAAAACCACAAGAAAGTTAACCGGAGTAAATTGAAACTCTGACTCGCATCGGCCTCAATTCTTTCTATTTTTGTTGTGTAACAGGCATTCTTAGACATTCTGTATTACATCACAGAAAAAGAGTCACTGATGTTTCTAAAGAGAACTTTCAAATTAGCCATTTTGTGGAAGAGTGTCTGAATGCTCAGAGACGGACAATGAGATGAACATTATACCAGGGAAAGTCACATGCAACGAGGGAACTATTATGATGCCTTCACGTGTAAACCTTTTGTCCTCAGAAAAATAATTAAATGAATAAGCTGACCTGTGGGCTACGTGTTCCGTTGTGTTCCTTTATTAATATATGAGTGTGGATTAAAAGTAATGGAAATGGTAAAATGTCTTTTAGAATCTTTAATGCTATGGACCTGAATTTATCATGGCCTGTTGAAATATACTCCTTGACATTGCAGGCAGGATTCCAGCCTTCTGAGCCACTTCTGGAAGATATAAGTGGTAGCCAGGTTTCGGTACGCTTCACCACCCTGAATTAATAGTTTTTGAAAAAGGCAACTGAAAAAACCACATTCTGCTTTGAAACGGGCACACATTTTTTTCATAGTAAGTTCTCTTCGAATGATATTTTGCACCAACTCAGTCCACGCCTGTCTCTCATCTCTCGTATAGAGGTGTGGGTATCTTGCGGAATTGCGGAACATGGTGCCGGATAACGTCAATGTCGTTTACAGAGAAATTAGGGTGACCAGAACGTGGGTCGTCAAAAATGACGTCTCTCCCTTCACTGAATTAGTGCATTCAAAGACAAACTGTGTTATATGAACAAACATATTCTCCACAAACACTCCACTGATGTCCATGAATCAGTTTTGGCTATTCGCCTAGTTTACAGGGCATAAAGATTAAGGAACAGATGTTTACTTTTGTGACTCCACCTTGTTTTCTCAAGAGCGCAAACACAAGCGGATAATTAGAGAACCTCAGATGTACGCTATTGGTCGATATTTATAGTAACAGCCATCTTGTTGACCTATTCTTTAACATACATAATATAATGAGCATTATCATAACGTTTTGCTCAAATAAAAAAAAAAAAGCTTTCTTTTTTTTTACTACACATTTTTTTCAGATCAGACAGTGAGACAGTAAGTCTGGAACTTCTTTTGTCTTTAGTCATAATGAAGAACACTATTTTATGACACAAACAAGATGGCTGTTACTATAAATATCGGCCTACGGCGTACATCTGACGTTCTCTAATTATCCGCTTGTGCGCTAACCGTCTTTTGTTTATGACGTCATGAAATAATCAAGAATGACGCCACGTGTTTCTTCAATGGTTGGTTGAACAGGAGACAGTATGATTAATTATGAATACTGCTTCTTTAGCTGAAGTCAGTATGAGGGGCACTGTTCAGAGAAGAGGAACGTTTTTGTGTGCCAATAGAAGGTAAAATGGGGTTTTAAATTCATGGAAATTAATAAACACTGATGTCATTTTAGTCATGTAGAAAACACTGAAATGGTTCTTGGCACAAACAGCGGTACAATATTACATCCAAAACATTAAGTTTTCAGTTAACTAATTTAAGTCCCTTTTCTATCGTCATGCAAGCAGTTTGTACATTGCTCAAACCATGTTGTTGCTGTTGTATCATTGTGTTTATATTGTTGTTTTTGATGTTGCTGCTGTTGCTGTTGTTGCTCTTTCTACTGTGTTGCTGCTGCTGCTGCTGCTTTTGCTGCTGCAACTACTCCTCTTTCTGCTCCTACTACCGTTGCTTTTACGACAACTCTTATCACTGCAACTCTATTTGTTGCGCATCCTCTTCTGCGAAATGGATGGAGTCTGAGTTGCTTACACACATGCCCAGTACGTGATTCACTGAGTTAAAGCTGCAACTCTCCCGAATTGAAAACTTCTTAAATATTGAAGACAAATACTGCAGCACACGTTAATAGAAGTTTTCAGATATCGACGTAAATCAACAGCCCCCTCCCCCCCCCTCCTCTCCTCTTGTTGCCACTTGAAGTTTTCGTGTGCGACGTGAGGGCCAGGATTTTTCTCGAATCCTCGATAGATTTGTGAGGTCAGAGAGTCACTTTGCGTTTGGTTTTCATTTCACGTCTTGTCCACAACGTCATTTCCCGATCCTGATGTGATTACGTTAACTCTCTTGAGAGGAGCACGGCTCGCTTGTATTCAACCAACTCCAGTGCTGGGAATCGAATCTTTCGATTATGTTATGCTGATGCGATTTCTTTACAGCTGACCCCAATTTTTGGTTCTCTAATATTATAAACTTATCTTTTTTTAGAATCTCCCTTCGCTGTAGTATAAAACACAGGTAATTTTCCAGATTAAAATAATTCCGAGTAAGAATCGACATGATATTTATCTATCTATCTATCTATCTATCTATCTATCTATCTATCTATCTATCTATCTATGTGAAATAAAATCAGAATTAAGTGTAGCTATAAATAATAACGATTTTATCAGTAAAGTAATAATTTCATCCGTAATGACCTAGACTGATACGATTTCTCAATTCGCTCACTTTTTCTCATCTGTTGTCAAACAAGAAAACGTTAAGTCAAAACTGCAATACCTACTTTATAAAACACAACAGCAACGAAATGATCATGCAAGTAGATGCTCAAAAGATTTGACAGAATGGTGTGGAGTAGGGAGGGGGGCAGGGGGTTAGCAGATTTTGAAAAAGTAGAAAACCTTTTAGTTCAAAGAAACTTAAGGAATGGCTTAAAATGCACCCGGGTAGCACAGCCATGCTACTGGTGGGGACATTGACAAAGCGATACCTTAGAATAACAAAGTTCTATCTGACATTTTTGACCGTTTTGAGTTACTAAGACCATGAGGTCAGAAACCCAAAGTTTTATCTGCTCTATCAAAATCATAAGATTATTCGGAGTCGCTTTGAAGATATTCCAAGAATTGCATTCGAAAAAGCTTGATATGTTGTGAAACTCAATATTTTTGACGTCAAATTTCCCTAAACTAAGTACTGAGTAGATCAGATAGGAGAACTTTCGTAATTTTGAGGTAGCGAAAGGTCTCCAGATTCTCCTTCTTGTCTTAAAAAGCAATAATTATGAAGCTAGGAGCGATGACGCTGACCGAGAGGAACGTGGCCAACATACGGACGTTTAGAGTTCCAAGCAGATTGAGGTTGGCTATTTCTTAGGGGAATACCTTTCATCTCAATTTGACGTTTTGGCTCGGGTCACGTACTTCGCTTTCAAAAGACGTATAACGTGTCCATATAAGCTTGCCACCCCCACCCCCCTCCCCACCACACACACAAACACAAGAAAACTAACCCTTAAAATCCCAAAACAACAAAGCACACAGATAGCAATAATAGTAAATCTGATAATGATAATAACAACAACAACAACAACAACAACAACAACAACTACAACTACAACTACAACGGCAACGGCAACAGCAACAACAACCCCCAACGAAAAGCAGTGAAGCCAAATGAGTGCTAGTCTTTAGAACACGAGGAAATTAATCCTCTACAAATAAATCTATATATCCAAAAGAAGCTGACTTTGCTTTCCCGGCGTATCGTCGATACCGTAGGTTTCGATTCTTGGCCAAGACTCCACACGAGCTGAGCAGACCAGCTAGCGAGTCAGAAAGGCCCTTAACGAGGACAAGAAGAGGCCTTTTCGAGGGGAGCCAAGACAGCCCTGTTAGCGGCAGCCTCTCTATCTGATCTAACGCTGGCAAATAGGATTTATCAGAGGAGTGGGATGATGGCTGCCGAGCCTTCATCATGTCGGGAGTGCGTTCGTTCATGCGCATGTGTGTACTTGTGTGTGCATGTGTGTGTTTGTGTATGCGTGTGTTTGTATTTGTGTGTAAATGTGTATTGTGTGTGTGTGTGTGTGTGTGTGTTTGTGTGTGTGTGTGTGTGTGTGTGTGTGTGTGTGTGAGAGAGAGAGAGAGAGAGAGAGAGAGAGAGAGAGAGAGAGAGAGAGAGAGACACACACACACAGAGATACAGAGAGAGCGAGCGAGAGAGAGAGAGAGAGAGAGAGAGAGAGAGAGCGAGCAGAGAGAGAGAGAGAGAGAGAGGTTAACAAAGAACTGCCTTCACAAGATGTAGGGCCTACATCGAAGGAAGAAAATGTAATCGACATACATAAGCCTATGGATTGGGTCAGAGGACCCTAAACCGACGATGAAGCTAGGGCTCGCATAATGGGTCACACAGACGTTTCTAAACGATGTTGCTTTGATGCACCGACCTAATTTCTCTCCTGTCCATCAAGTGGTGGTGACATAAATATTTTCATCATTAGATACGTATCTCACATACCGACCAGTAGGTTATGTTTCCGCCGAGACTCAAAACAAATGAGCAAATATAATTACATAAATTACAAACGAAAATAACAACACCTCTAAAAAGGCGTCAAATCGAATAATAAAGGAGAACAAAAGAGCACCCCCCCACAACAACAAAACAAAACACCCCCCCCCCCTAAAATTACCACCTCCCCCCTCCAAAAATATCAACTAAAACAACCCAATACAAACAATTATTATTATAACAACAACTATTAAACAACAAAAAACAAAAACAGAAAATGGCCCTAAACCCGTCTTAGTGCAGAGTTAAAAATTTGGAGAACTCAACATTGACAAACAAGGTTTAGGATAGAAGATGACATTTTTTTTCAAGCTCGCTCCGAATAGTCTGAATGACCGAACAACGGACCCTGTAACAAGGCACTTTTAAGTTATTATTTGACATCGAAATAAGCTGTTCATACTAGAAGTTATGATAATTTTTTGAGAATAAATTTCAGGCCTTATTTGGCAAATTTTCACACAGAATACTAGCGCATTTCTCGAAAAGTAGCTCCAAAACGAGGTAAAATCATATAAAAGCAATACCTTAACCATTGAGGTATCATTAGAATTTTGTTTAAATAAACTGATAAAACGACTGCGTACGCATATTGGGGTAGACTATTTTCATATTTAATCAGCAACGTATTTCAGTAAAAAGTCAACCTAGCAGCTAGATACGGATCAATTTTCACCCTTCATGTATCGGTCTCATTCGACAAAAAGTAAGGGAACTTGTTCCAAAAAGTTTGCGAAAAAAATAATTCCATTAAAAAAAATGTAAACGGTTTTTACACCCCCATCACTGCTGTCTTTCAGCCACACCCCAGATCTTATTGTAGGAAAGATCTACACCTAGCCTTCTCGGACAAGGACGAAAAATCTCGTAGGTCCCGTGTGCAAGTCGCGCGCGTTAAAAATCT